AGGTCAAACTGGTTTGTTCGACTTTCAAGAAATTTGAGTTCTAGTAAGTTCGAGACCCGAGGTACCACTGTATTTAAGAATCCGTTAAATCTGCCACTTTGTATGCTCATAATATTGGAGAATGGGACAGTAAATGTCTTAAATTCTTTGTCGTAGGAGGATTTCTCGTAATTGAGTCACCCATGCCTTTAACATCGCTTTGTAAAGTTTGAATTATTATTCACACATCATTTGTTGGGCTTTTATAATACAAACTTGAATTAAAAGTGGGTGTAGTTACTGTAGTGTAATTGTAGGGGTACTGATTTTGGTAAAACACATTTATGCTTACATTTTGGTCTTACATTCTGTTTTAGAGCTTTTCAGTAACACTTCAAAGAGTCGTACATTTCACAGGATTTCTGCTGACACCAAGTAATTGAACACATTAGTGATTTATGTTATTAATGAGCCAATATAATTGTTGCATGGTGGGTAATTTGTTTTTTCCCCCACAGATACTGCCTTTGCCAAGAACAACATGGATGAGAAGTGGTATTATTTTGATGACAGCAGTGTTTCTTCTGCTACAGAAGATCAAATTGTGGTAAGTGAGATAATCTGTTTTTTCTGGATAATGTGATACCATTTTTAAGTTGCTGCCAAGGTGATCTAGTTTCAGTGTAGGGCTATGTTTACTTCTCACAGTTAGTTATTAATGTGGGACACTGTCTGATGTGACTGAAAATGTGACAAATTATTATAGTACTGTATCATAGTCCTCTCAGACCTTAGCTGAATTTGGCTCTTGGTGCTGGTATACTGTACATGACAATGTGTCTGCTTCTTTCTCTTTGTCATTCCCATTACAGACAAAAGCTGCTTATGTTCTGTTTTACCAATGCAGAGACGGGGACAGCCCCGCAATCTCATCGACATCCCTAACCACACAGGACACTGAGACAGGAGATGACAATATGGACACAAACTGAGTGAACTTGGTGCGAACACATCTTGATAAAAGCCAGTACAAATGAATACACAGATCAAGTAAAAAAATACGCCCCATAACAAAACCACGATTTAATGTTGAGGTGTGTATGCGAGTGTGTGTCCAACATTTATGATCACAAACAACCAAACTTAACCTTTGGATTCAATTATAAAGTTCCCCCAAAGCTACTTAGCACTTTGTAACAACACTTCTCTCAATAGCTTACCTTATTATTAGCTTGGCAGTAAACTCACGAACTGCAGGTGCAGTTTATCTTATGGCTAAATGTATACATGTTTTAACCAAGATCTTAAGAGAACATTCTGTCTGTGGTGTGAGTAGGTTTGTCAGCGGAGTCATCCACCTGTCCATTTGTTTATACAGTATCTGTGAATATGTTTATTGTAGGATATTTATTTTGAACCTTCTATATCAGTGTGCACTTAATGGACAAAAAGATGCTAATGGTGTATGTGGACTTCTACCATCTGATAGGAAGGACAACTGGTGCTTCTTTTTGCAGTCATCATTCTTCCCTGCATTTTTAAACTCCAGATGTAGTTAATTGGTAACATTATCGTCCAATCATGTCTTTCCCCTCCTTGCTGTACCAGATTGCACTCTCCTACAAGCAGAACATTGTAGTTTAATTCTTGCTTGTCCCTCCTTTTTAAAAATTCCACAACACAATACTGGAAAAGATTCAGTCTTGCCCACTTTGGCAAAATGTGCTGCTGCACAAACAGCCTTAAAGCAAGATTGTTAGTCATTTGAATTGTCCTAACATTATTGGAGTAACCCATGACAATACATATTACTTGAATCCATTTTAATGTTGCTGTAATCGTCTTTTTGATTTCCAATGGGGTTGTGTTATGGCCCATCTGTGTTAAGCCTGCCTTGTGTTTAGGTTTCTGCATTAACCCCACCCCAACCCAAATGCAGTATCTAGATTTGCACTGATGAAGACTGCCATTTCTTAAAGTGGCATGAGGTTTATGAAGCTTAAAATTGCTGCGGTTTGGGGGGGGGGTATAACCTGGGAGTCTGAAGAACATTTCACTTCATTGTGTTAAACTATTGAAGTATCTGGTTGTACTTCTTTAAAGCACTGGATTTGTAACCTACAGTGGCGTTTTATCCTGAAGAGTGAGTCGCCAAAGGAAAATTAATAATCTCCAAATGTTTATGTCCAAAGTCTGAGTTGGAAAATATTATTCACCCCCACAACTAAATGTTCAGTTTAGTGTGCTTGTATCTATTGATTTCTATCTAATATTGTTCAAAGCCCTGCACGTTAGAAGCAAACCAATGTTATATATATATAATATATATTTCAGTAATGTATGTACTATGTGTACTATATTTGCATACAATAAAATGGTAATATGAATTTTATCCAGTAACCCATCAACTCTTATGTCCTGCTGGGTTGCCAGGGTTAAATTAATTGATTGAAAAAAATTTTACATTCACCCTGTAATTTATATTGGCATAAAACCTTGTGAAGTAGTATGAGTTAATATGTATTAAAGCACCAAATTATGATGGATATTCAGCCTAACATCAGTCATTTTTGTTTAATTGCATAGATGGATTATATGTACTGGAAACAGAAAGTGCTTTTATCTAAGTTGATGAGGTATAAGTGATGTTTTTGCAATGTGGAATAAAGACGTGTTCACTGAAAAACCAAATAAGCACTGATTAAAAGTAATGCATATGTAGGGACCTGCACATTGATTCTGTGTATTGCAATACCATTTATGCATTTAGGATTGACTTCATTCTCATGGCCAATATAAGTACAGTGCATGAGACAGGTTTCACACACACAGGGCTATTTAGAAACACCGATGTAGACTACAGGCAAAGAAAACTCATGAGAAATTACAACAATAAAAGGCACAAAAGTAGAAATGTTTCTTTTTTATTGATCCACTGATTACAAAAATTCAGACATCCTTCACGTGCACCAGATGCTACAGTCAAGTGAAGACTTTTACAGATTTCTCAGACATCTTTTTTCACTAAGGTTTTAAAAGGATGACTTCATATAGTAAAAGTGCAAAACTGCAGCAGCATCTTGCACAAAAGAGGATGATTTAAAGACAGTGGACATTAGCAAGCAGGCTGGACTGGCAACAGGCAAATAGGAGGGAAAAGAAGCCCATGCAGTAAATATCCTTTCCACTATGGCCATATTGCCCATACTGCTATAGCTTACTTCTCAAGGCCAAGAAGCTTTTGGATGTCATGTTCAATGTTGATTGTCAAGAAATTTCTGCTGTAGCGTTTGAATGGCTCTCCATCAGAACCAACAAGAAACTTCTCAAAATTCCAGGACACATCATTTCTACATACTGGGCTCCAGATAATAAACTTTGGGTCAGTCATCAAGGACACTGCATTATCACTGGGGGTGGGTAGCTTCTCCTTGAGGAAGACGAACAAGGGGTGTGCGTTCTCGCCATTTACTTCAACCTTCTCCAGAAGCCGGAATTTGGGCTCAAAGCCATTTCCTGGACGAACATACTTAAGGCATTTCAGGATTTCTTCATTCTTGCCATTCTCCTATTAAAAAGGTAAATATATAAAGGAACATATTTAGCCTGTTAAATATTTCAAAGTATTTACTGATAAATATAAATGCATATAAAAGTTAAGCCTTACCCAGCATTCTGTGTTTTAGATGTACATATAGAAATTAGTAGACAATTATAGCTCAAAGTTCATTAGGCCGTTTCCAGCAGTAGGAATGGCACTTCACACCATCTTTAAATTTAATCTTTTACAAAAAAAAGCCAAAACTGAAAAGGTAAAAAGACAATTCATGAACTGACGATCCTAAATTTTTCTAAAATTTAGTACAGAAATACAACCTCCAGTTTTCACCAGTCATGTAGCTGCGTGAGCATGTCCCCGCCCAGTTTAATCATATCTATATAATCAGGTCAAAACAAGTCAAGACAAGTTTTTCCAAATGTAAGTCTAAAATGACAATTTAAGGGAAATCTCCACAGTATAACTATACATTGTTGTGGGTTTACGTGTATCAATATTAGCCATGGCCTTTTCCAAGCAAATATTTTATAGGAATGAGTTTTTCGACGGGTATATAATAAATGAATATATATATAGAGAGCCAATAATAATAAATCGTGAACACTTATAAACGTATATGTTTTTTGTTATCCATATTATTCTTATATTAACACTCCTCTGTAAACTTATATCCTGTTTTAAGGAGATTAAAATTCTACATTCTGGATTGAAGATTAATATCAGGTTTATTACCTTTACTGCGAGTCATTTACAAAGGAGTTACGAATTACCATATAAAGGTTCAAATGGACGGTAATTTCTTGTCATGTCGGCGCTAATGCACATAAAATACATACGTATTCGCGCTGTTACATTAATCGATTGCCGCACGTATCGCTTTTAAAGGTGAATAAGTACTTGCGTACCAGTTATGTCAATCCCTGCCTATAGTCAAGCTGAACCTTGAATCATGTTTATGATCTGTCATTGTGATCCAATAAAAATGCAAAAAACAAAACAAAAAAAGTTATGGGGGGGGGGGCATGTCTTCCGCTTGAACTCCTCACGACCTTTTAAGCCACATGACGGAGGTTTCATTGCTATTAACTCAGAGATCATCACCTTCATCACCACGCACATGTATGAACAGGCAGCAGACGGCCGGACAGAGGCGCTTTACCTGATGGCCGAACTGATTGCAGGGCACCGCCAAGACCACGAGCCCCGCGTGAGCGTAGCGCGCGTGCAGCTCCTGCATCTGCGTGTAGTCCCTGACCGTCGTGCCTCAGAGCGAGGCGACGTTCTCGATCAGAACCACTTTGCCCTTCAGCTCGGAGAAGCTGAACGCCTCCCCCGTCAGCAGTTTAGCTGTTAAATCGTAGAATTTCTTAACCCTGCCCGCCATCTCGACGCAAAAAAGCAAACCTCTCCTGTCCTTAACGAGTGGCCACAGTTTATAACCCCGTGAGGAAAGGGGCGGTGCTGAAGGTGGAGCTACACTATTTGTTTTAAACTTAAAAAAAGAGATGTGCGGAAATTTCCGCTCCTTATATATTGTTGTGGAATTTACTTCATATTGTATGTTGTAGCAAGTAATTTAGTACTATGTTGACGTATTTAAAAACAAACATTATACATAATTTCTGGGTTTTATATACTTTATCTTTTTATATATGGTGCATATTGTTTTAACGATTTAGTTGTGTATAATCGATTTTTGATATAGCCGTTGTAATCCAATATTGTGATCACATACCTAATTTTTAATTATGATATCTAATGAACACTCCAAACTAGTGTTGTGGAAAGTTTGTTGCCTGTGAGACACTTCGCTGAACTACATTAGCAGCGTAAAGATACGCAGGCGTTTTTGCCGCTGATTATACTCGATCCCCTTCTAGTGCTTTATCAGTTTTGCACAGAGAACCGTGTTTTTCTGTTGCCTACTAACATGTTTCTAGTTGATTTTAAGTATTTCTCATATGACCTTTTTCAAGGGGATTTATATTATTTTTCTTGGTCATATACTTAATTTAAAATGCACTATAGAAAGACCGAATAGCATAAGAAGTGTTCCCTTCCTGTCATATGTATTTATGCAAAAACTTCATCGTGTCTTGCCCAGTTCCACGTCTTGATTTTTTTTTATCCTAGCAAAGACTACAGTTTTGCTGCTGAAATGTATTCAGATGGCTTCACATTGAAAGCGTGCACTCTATCCTCAAAAGCCAATGATCTCTGTCTGTAAAACAGTTTCTTGGTTCCTGCTTCAGATTTCTGTTGAGGTAGTTGACATAGGGACTGTGGGCAGGTTCTTGCAATAAAATAAAGAGTAGATTGTTTACATTGATGAGTGTATCGTCATTTACACTCATGGATAGTTCTTTTACCTTGACTTGGAGCTATTCACTGTACACCTGACAGCTGGTTTATAGCAAATGTAGCAGCTGAAATAGTGCTGTCTAAATACAAGTATGACCCAGTACATAATTAACTTTATATATAAAAATTCAGTCTTGACAATTTATGTGGCGCTACTGCATATAACATTTATATCCTGTGCTTGATCTTTTACCTGCGACCTTAGATCAGATTTGAGGTTGAAAGATGGATGGACAGATTGTTTGATGGAGCTGTGAATATATTGGAAACCAGCTCCAGGGGTCTCCCATACTCGTGGGTCTCCCAAGTTTGATTTCAACTGTCTGTGTGTCTCATGGAGAGTAAAATGAGATAGGTGAAAAGACAACTTCCCGATGGAGATGAATGAAATATCACTGTTGTATTTTTATACAAGTAGATGACTATTTTTTTCTTGTTGTAGTTCTGTGTTAATGCATGTGTGTGGAAAAACTGGATAGTAATGCTGAGACGCATCGGAAATCTATTTTACCAGCAGATTGAAGGAGCATAGGTGCCATATGCCTAGGATCGGTACTCGGCCAAATAATGGGCTGAAGGCACTACAGGGTTAAACATATGGACTATTAACTTCAAGTTTGCTGTTTCAAGCCTTAAAAGTTGGCCTTGTATCGTACCCATGAAGAAGGAAAATTACTCCAGAAAAATAACAAGCCTTACAGATTGCTTAAAAAGGGACAGTTCAGCACGCAACATAACATAATCCAGTGCTATTGCAGAAAGTAAACTAGATAAAATAGAAAACATAGATCTCCCATTATAAAAGATTTTCTTGGCACCATAATATATGACTGACGTTTCTGGTATATATTACTTTCCCAGAATGCATTTTTTTGTGGCAATATAAAATTTTTCATCTGTAACAAACTATGGCACACAAATATTTACTTTTGTTTTATAGTTGTCTTGCCCTGGTAGTCTTTATGAAAATGAAGTGAGGAGAATACTTTTGATTCTACATATTTGTAGTTCACATAATTGGCTGTCCTTACTCAGAGCATTGTATAATTTGTATGTAATTTACACATCCCTATGTACAGTAAATATATTACATAATATAACAATGTGATGAGCAAGTACGTTTCTGAAGGATAAAAAAAAAGTTCTGTGTTTCTGTCACGCCCGGCTCGTCAGATCCTCGTGTGTGCCACGCCCCCTCATTACCCACGTGTACTACCCTGATTGTTCCCAGCTGTTTGATGTTAGTTTTGGCCTGTTTAGTGTATATCAGTCCACGTCTACCTCTGTTTCCCAGATCTGTGATTAACGTTCGTCATGTGCTATTCTCTGTGCGTCCAAATAAACCTAATTTACCCGTATTTACGGCTCCGTTCGTCTGCTTCCCCGCTTCCTGCTTGTTCGCTTGCGCATCGACGTGACAGTTGCGGCTCAATTTTTTTTAACCAATTTGCCGCCTGCTGGCCGGTCGAGGTGTGCACCTCTGTTTTAATGGCTGATATAGAAGATAAAATCATGAAATAGCTTTTCGGTTTTCCATTGTGTTTTTTTGACCTGTGAATAACGGAACTACTGGCCTATTTTTAAAAGCCTGAAATAAGAGGCTGATCGTCTTTAGATTTTGCCATTTAGAGTTTCACTTTTTACATTTAGAGCATTGAATGCAATCAAGCTTATTCAAAGTATTCATCCTTATTTAGATATTTTATTTTCTTTACTTTAATAAACCATTTAGGTAATCTAAAAAGTGTTTAGTATATTTTGTTAAAATATGTAACTGATTGTGAGACAAATCTCTGCTTCTTCGAGGAAGACATACTGAATAACACAAATATTCCAACAGTCAAAAGCATTATACTTTTTTTTTAATTACCAATTAACGCCAATGTTCTAACTTACAAGGGCTTGATTTCAATTTCTGTTTTGTCACTCTTCCATCGTTGCCAGAAGCCTTGCATTTTCAAAGGGCAAGCCTTTAGTTTAAGCCCTCTGCCAATGTGCTAACTACATTCTTCCTAAAACATGTACGCAGATTTATTCTGCAAAGTCCTCCTTTTAAATTAACATCCGAACTTTTCATCGTAATAAATCTCGGTTCCGTAGACAACCGGACCACATGCAAACCTATGCGAATGGACAGCACCAACAGAAGAAGGGATATGTTTCAACAAAAGGGCGAATGATTTACTATGATATATCATTTGTTGAGACATGATTTCACATTTATTTAAAAATATAATAATACTCGAAGTTCCTCTATTGTTACTGTGAAAATTCTGACTTTTTATCAATGTTGTCATATTTGCTTTTAGACGTCGCACCCCTTATCGAACAGGCGATGTATACAGAACCGACAGGAAGCTGTAAAGCAACATGGTCTGTGTTTAGGGAAATGGAACAGCCTTAGCCTGCTTTGAGAAGCTAGCAAGCAGCTAAATACCTCAACATCCTGCTTACAGAAAGTACCGTCTCTGTCAACGGATGATGTATTTTGAGAACCTGTACTGATAAATATACATATATCTATCTCCAGAAACAGTTGTCAAAACAAATCCGTAGTTGTAGATAAAGTTTATTCGATTTACGTAGCCGTTAGCTTGATTGGCATTTCGGAAAACACTTATAATCAAAGCATTATAAATTCTGCCGAGACAAGCACGGTAACGAACTACCTAACCCCGTCCAGTTAACGACCATGTCTGAGCTTGTTATTTTGGTACTCATTATCTTTCTAATACTCTGTCTGTTGGTCACAATAGTGGGGTATGTGCTATACTCCGGGCTGCTTTCCGATATTAACATCAAAACAGGTTCTCCTCCAATCAAGAATATAACCTTTGCCTACAGATTCAAACAGGGACCTTACAAAGAGTGCGGAACAGTCTTCACCGAAAGTTGTAGTATTGGGCCTAAGCTCTCCAGCATCGGAGTGTTCTATGATGATCCAAACCAGGTGAGATCATTATTAAGGGTCCAAAGCACATAGTGCTATGGAACCTTATTGTTTTTATTATTATTATTTCTTAAGGATCTAATATTTGTATAGGATTTAAATCAGGCCTCATCACAGTTATCTTACTGTCCCGAATGAGCCTTGATTCATTTCTTTAACACGTGGCAGTGTGATTCAGCGCTGTGTGAAGCAGGGTAAACTGAGTAATGGATTTACTTAAGTTGACCTTCAAAAGAAGTACAGCTACAGTTGGGACATTGATAAAGCAGAAGTCAACATGTCATTAACACAGAATTTATGGTTCACTCTTAAATAAATTTAGTCTGGTTTACACGTCTTTTTTTTGATGGAGTGTCTTGGTGACTTAGTGACAATTTGTAAAACTGTTTACTCTGCTAGTAGCCAGGACGTAAAGACTTACAAAAGCTAGGGTACCATTCTGAGGAGTAAGAATGCAGAGTTTCATGGCATCGATCGTATAACCAGCGTTTCTTTATGGCTTAACTAACAGGTTTTATTAGATTATCAATGTAGATTTTGCTCGATAGCTATACGTTTTCTTAACCGTCCTGATTTGATTGCCTCGAGAAATCCACATATGTAGCTCAATGACGGTTATATTTTATGATGTTATTATTTGGTGTTTTATGTTTTAAAAAGAACCATTTAACATAATGATCTCTTAAACACCACTAATCTACCCTTTAAAATAAAGTATCACATTGTTATTTCTATAAGTTGTATATTTATTATCAAAGCATTTATCAGTAATACAGTAAAGAAGAAAAAGATATTTAAGTGCCTAAATTTCGTTCTGGTGTCCCTAAAATTTTCAGTAAGGAGCACCAGTGCTACTGGTGGAAAAGGTTAGTCTGCAGCTCTGAATGTGCTATTGCTTTGGACAAAGGCTTTTGCAAAATAAAAGTAAATGTGAATGTTGTGCTTGTAACGCTTATCATGGATACACTTGCAGCCGTAATTATATTATCATCCTGTCGCCTACCACCACACACCCTTATATTTATCAGTTAGAATGGTACCTTTTTTTATTGGTATTAACTTAAATGAAATGCTATCTGTAGTAGCTAAGCAGTCTTGTACAGTGGTTAGGAGAAATTTTGGCCCATTTTTTTCTATACAGAATTGTCACACAGCCTATTTTTTAGGATCTTGCTAAAAGGCCTTGCTTCAGTTCACGCTACAGCTTTTCAGTGGGATTATGTCAGAACTCTGACTTGACCATTGTAAAATACCGAATGTCTTCTGTTTGTGCCAATATTTTATGATGCAACATCCCATCCACTGTTTTCAAAAATGACTTTTAAATAATAAGCCCAGTTTTTCCCGGTTGTGCTGCCTGACATTTGAGCTAATGTAGACTTGCGAGCAGATCAATTTTCTTAATGGTTTTAAAACCACAGTGTTTTTCAACTGTTTATGAGTTTAAAGGTTTCAAACGTAAAGTGTTTCCAAACTAAAAACAAAAAAAGAATTATTACTTAAATACCATTTTTAATATTTTCCTTACTCTGCTCATTTGTTGAAAAGCGAACAAAAACTGGTCATGAAAGCACAATTGTCTTCTGTTGTATGGAAATATTTTGTATTCCATAAGGACGATATTTAGCAAAAGCAAGTGATTGTCGGCACTGCTTTGTGTCTGTTGGCACAACTAACAGCAATACCATCAGCTGATTTGACAGACTGTGTTGGTTGATTAGTTCTATTTGGCTACATAGTTAATTTTCAACTCTTAAATATCTCAAAAACTCAGTGTCGCAATTTTTTTTTTTTGCCAAAATGGTTCAGCACAAAACACACAATATGTGCACAAAAAATAGCTAATATGGTTAATATGTGCCATCTTATGTAAGATGATTTGGCTAAGCCACGGGGCTAAACTTTTCTCTTTTTTTTGGCAAACGGGAATGGTAGAAAGTAAATAAAGCAAATTGATTGTAGTCAAAATGACGAAAAAGACAGGCTAAGCTACTCTGAAAGGCTGGGTTCTGAAGAGCTCAGTGAAGTCAAGCGTGGTGCTGTCATAGGATGCCACCTTTGCAATAAGTCCAGTTTATGAAATTTCTTCCCTGCTAGATATTCCACGCTTCAGCTGTAAGTGGTATTACTGAAAGCGTTTAAGAATAACAGAAACTCAGCCACGAACTGGCAGACCACATAAAGTAACAGACTGGGGTCGCCAAGGGCTGAGGTGCATAGTGCATAAAAGTCGCCAACGCTCTGTTGACTCAATAATTGCAGAGTTCCAAACTTCCTCTGGCATTTACCCCAGTACAAAAACTGTGCCGGGAGCTTCATGAAATGGGCTTACATAGCCGTGCAGCTGCATGCAAGCCTCACATCACCAACCTCAACAGCAAGCGTCGGACTTGAAAACGTGTTCTGTGAAGTGAAGAATCACGCTTTTCTGTCTGGCAGCGGAGTTTGGCGGATGCCAGGAGAATGTTACCTGCCTGACTGCATTGTGCCAAATGTAAAGTTTGGTGGAGGAGGGATAATGGTATGGGGCTGTTTTTCAGGAGTTGGGCTAGACCCTTAAGTTCCAGTGAAGGGAAACTCTTAATGCTTTAGAATACCAAGACATTGTGGACAATTCTATGCTTCCAACTTTGTGAGAATAGTTTGGGGAAGGCCCTTCTCTGTTCCAGCATGACTGTGCCCCAGTGCACAGAGCAAGGTTCCTAAAGAGGTTTGGGAGAGTTTGGTGTGGAAGAACTTGACTAGCCTGCACAGAGCCCTGAACTCCACGTCTTCGAACACCTTTGGGAAAAATAGAATGGAGATTAGAAACCAGGCCTTCACATCCAACATCAGTGCCTGACCTCACAAATGCTCTTCTGGATGAATGGGCAAAAATCCCTGCAGACACACTCCAAAATCTTGTGGAAAGTTTTCCCAGAGGAGTGGCAGCTGTTATAGCTGCAAAGGGGGGACCAACCCAATGTCGATGCCTATGCATTTAGAATGAGATGTTGTGCAACTTTCTGTAGGTGTAATGGCCAGGTGTCCATCTAGTGTATCTGTGGCTAACCTTGCATTATTGGGTGAGTCTGTCAAACCTTTTAAGATACATTTGCATTGCAGTTGTGCTGTGGTGATACTTAGGTTCTGCTTTCCAATACTGAGTGACAGCTGCATTTTCATTCACTTTTGAAGTGCTTCCACATGACCCTGATGGTATCGTTCTTTATTTGGACCCTCATTGGCTATGGCCGCTATGCAATGTCTTCCTTCCCCCGTATTGGCAAGTAATCAAGAAAGAAAAATTTAATCAATGCTTTTCACTAATTGAGTAGTCAAGCTTAATTGAGTAATCGTTACCAGTGAATTGTATTATTTGAATGTGTGTAATATATATTCACATTAATGAGGTTTCATACTATAACGTAGTATTTATTAAAAGTAAAAAAAAAAAAAATTAACTCCGACAAATGCATGGCATGTCATTCAGCAATTTGCAAATGAATTATCAAAGGTGGGGTGCAGAACACATGTATTGTATGTATGTATACATGTATGTAGTGAGCAGTGGGTGGGCTGGCAGATTGGGTATTGTGACAGTATGTTTTTCGTCCCTTTATAATGGTGGTGAATAAAATATTGTTATATTCTTCCTGGCATTACCAGCTGGAAGAGAGAGTTGGCTTCGCATTCTAAATGATAGGAACTAAATTGCATAGAACCTCACTAATGATATACTTAGACATCAGTGATAAAACGTTTAGATGTGGGTGTAGCTTGGCATCATTCATGCTCGGCGCTCATGAATAACCCTGCCTTGACAAATTCTCAAATAGTGGAAGATTAGCAGGGCTGTGCTTATTTGGTGCTCGAGTGAGAGAACACTACAGCAGTTTTTCAGCATTGGTAGTAATGGATCAGTAGCATTTGGATTAAATGCTTATAACAGATAACAAGGACATGTCATCCATTGCCAAATTCTTAGTCAGATGGTCAAAAGCACAAAAAAATGAATATCATCTGAGGTATGAGCAAAACACTATAAATGATATACATCCTATGTCATCTCTTATTGGAGGGCCAGATGCCTGCAGAGCCTGGATCTTTATAAATGAAATGGCAATGAAGAATCTGAGAGCTGTTTTGTCTTTGTTTGTGATTTTTATATTCATGTTTTTGTAGGAGAGCTCTTTGAACTGCAATGTTAGACCGAGGCCGTGGTCAATTCTAGATCTTTGGCTTGTTCTAATAATATCTAGTATTCATTAGGAGTTAGTTTAAATGATATTGGGGTTTCCATCTAAAAGTAATGTTTTTATTTTTCTTTCATTTTTTAGATGCATGTAAAATCTAATTTCCATGAATCTTAAGTAGAAAACTTCAGCCAATCACTTTCCAAACAGTATAGCTTCAGGAACCAGGAGCCTATTGGAAGCAGCATTGGCTG